ACCATGTCCACAGCCAGCTCACAGCACCAGCACCAGCACCGGCACCCAGCACCAGCAACCTGTCTCGAAAGCGCGCACGGGCAACTCATTGTTTTTTGAAGTAAGAACCCCATAGCTTCGCTATCTGGGGAAAAACGATCTCATATATGCTTACAACATAGCCGTGAACGATCAAGCAATGTCACCGCGGAGTCAATCAGGAGCAAGATCGCATACACGGCCTCTTCGGCCGTCCGCCGATGCCATAAGTCAATGACATCATTGCGCACTTTCACCGCCTCGAGGCATCCAAAAAGTTGGACCTAAAAGACTAAACACATGGTTGTCTCTATCAGAAAAGACAAATCTGACATGATATATGGTCAATCCTGCGTTCCAATCAACTCATTGAACTCTGATCTAAGAAGTCAAAGGCCTTTGTGCCTGTTCATTGGAATGCTATTCCTCTAAGACTAAAACGGGCATCTCTGATCGGTGCTGCCATCCCTTCCCCAAAGGCAGTGCCTCTTGGTAACCTCCAAGTGTAGCTTGTAGGCCAAAAGGCCCTGGATTTGAGAGCTCCTCCTCTCCGGCACCTGGGAACTCACAAACCTGACACCAAAGTGGGAAACCGCGAGGAACACAAGGAACACGGCTCTTGCCTGAAACTTTTGTCTCAGATGACCAAAAGGAGCACGTATTTCTGTCCTTCGAACCTTGGAACTTCGAGGATCATGCTGGAAAAGTCCCAGCCAGAGCCTTTGTCATTTCGCTCCCAAGCAACGCAGAAATCATGCAGCTGCAACTACAGTCCAAGACACTGGTGATAAACATTCTGGACGAGGCTCTGGAAAGCATCTCATGTATTTTGTCTTGACACTCCTTCACTGATCATCTCTGAAAGAAACCCAAAGAACCCCAGTCCCAATCTTCATCACCACACTAAGAGGCAAGAAGATCCTCCGGCGGCTCACGCTCCAGGTCCACACCAAGAATGAACTCCAAATGAAGAGATTTGTTAGCCTGACATGAAGACATAGAAACATACAGAAACCACTCATGGCCAGGCTGCCTTGCCACTTGCCAGGCTCGTGAAGCCGTGGAGCAAACTCACAGGGTCCATGAGTCCATGCCATTCTCCGCTGTATGAACAAGTCAACTAAGATTTAAGGAACATGTTTGGCAAAATGCATAAGAGGTTGAAGGTTCATACAGCAAGAGGTACTGTATATCTGTTGGAGAAGGCATTCTGTAAGGTGTTCAATGATGATGTTCAATGAGTGTTCAATGCGAATGACATGATTGGAAATCGGAGTGATTGAGTCATTTGCGTTTGCAAAGCCATTCAGCACCAACACCCGGCACCAACAAACAAGCTGAGTCCCTCCAGCTCGCCTGGCATAGCTCAGCGATAGACATAGATCCTGGACACAGGAGCTGCTGTAAAGAAGTCGCCACAAAACACTGGAGAGTCTTTATTTATGCTGATTTACATCAAACATAACATTCAAGTTTGTACACACTGTGCGCTGATTTTCATATGAAGGGAGATTTCATGGAGGGCTCTATATCGTCTTTAAATCCTCCAGTTCCTTGCGCGAAGAAGTTGGAAGCCAATTTGGAGGTTGCGCGCTCTTTCCAATCCGAGTTGCTGAACTCAACAGCTTCATTTCCCAAGTCCCAGCGCACGCGCTGCACCAGCTGCTGCGCTGCTTGGGCCCAACTGGGTTTTCCACCCGTCAAGGCCGAGCCCATGTGAGGCACCTCTCCAAAGCCTAGCGCACGCGATCGCGGCCATGGGCATCATGTGTCATGCCCAATTCCGTGCCTGGTGAGCCTTCACCAGGATGCAGCAGCAGCACCTACAAGGGGTAAGATTATGCCGCATCAGTGGGTGTGAAGTGGCATCACTGCATGGCCACGCGTGGAAGGGTGAAGTCACATCAGCACGTGTGAAGTCACATCATGCTGTCGCAATCACTGTGGCCACGCGGCGAAAACCTATGTTTGGAGTTTGACTTGTCTGGAACCCACGCCTGCAAATCTACACGGTTTTAAGCTTGGAAGACACAACATGGACCACTTATCAGAATTGTTTCCCAATGGGTACGAGATTTTGAAGATTATGTTAGTTGTTTGGTGTCAGGGTGCTGGTGTTAGGATGTTAAACCCCGATGGCGACACGCATCTAACCCAACCACTGCAAACAGCAACCTGCCTAACCCTTCCTGCAGATTGCACATGTGGAGAATTCTGCTTCCTCCCCAATGCCGCAATCGCCTGCTCATGCCTCTGTGACCCCTGGTGCAGTGAAAGTGGATCAGGAGGAGTGCTTGCTGCAGGCCAAGGGTGTGAGTGGGAGTCACGCAAGTCTCCGAGCTCTGGCCACATGTGCAAAATACTTTTCTGCCCTCGGAGTTGTTCTGATCGCGGGGATGAACAGTTACACTAAAACTTACGATAGATTTAGCTGCACTGGAGCGAGTGCCGCGCGAGTACCTTGCGAGGACCTCGCGAGGACCTCGGAGACTTGCGCAACCGCCTGGCGACTCCCAGTCACACCCTCCCTTTAGCTGTTTGGATTGGGTTCCTGGAGATATCACAATTCAATTCCTCTTCAAACCTGAGTTACTCCACATTTTGCAGTGATGTTCGCAGGCGAAACCTTGTTAAAATCAAACTTCTGTCCGCAAGTCTGCGTGTATGATGTGTATGTGTGCGCACTTGATTTTCCAGCGGCACTTCTTCGCCAGACCCCATTGCGAACCCTTTCAGCGGGGTTGGGCTCGCTACCGGACAAATTTTCACTGCTGCATGGGTTTCCCAACACTCCGTGTTGTGCCGGAAAAGCACGAAAACATGTTTGTGGAATTTAATGTGTTATATAATGTTACAATGTTATATATAATACTGTATATATACCTGAGAAGGGAGGGGACGAAAGCTAGCCTCCATATGAAGACATCAATATGGCAATGGGGGGTGAAATCGAGAGGGCGCTGGAACTGAGAGACTTGGCGTGCAAGATCAAGTGATTGGCTAACATCGGGCAAAGGGTGCCTTTGCTATGGGGTGAAGTCGACATTGCAGCCACCCCGACAGGGGGTAGAAATAGAAAGCAAAATACCTAGGTTTGGGGGGGGGTGCCCTTTTTGCTCCTGGCTCAAGGTCGTTTTCAAGCTGAAAAAAGGGCACCCCTAAGGAACTGAGGGGCGCTTGCTAGCTGCGTGTTGCCAAAGCAGTGAGCAAAGATGGCTGTGGGGGGCCCATGGGCGAGGCTACCGGCTGGCTTTCGCTAAGGATACACACACATATATATATATATATATGTACATGGGGTGCCCTTTTGTGTATGGTTGACAGGCACCTTTGCCACTCAAAAAGGGCACCCAAGCAACGCCCAGATTTCTTGCAAGCCCTCTTTTCCTACCCATCCTCCTCCGCTATGCCTGTCTTCCACCTTCCCCGCAGCATTCTGTTCTCTCTCCGGCCCTCACAGATCACACAGTGTCTTTAGATACACACACCTCCCTCGCACGCCTAGTTGAACACGATTTCAATGGCCACCAGACGCACATCTCCCTTCCCTCAAAAAATCCAACCACTTTTCGCGTCCCGTTGTCCCCTCTTTCCTATCTTCGACATGAACTCCCACCCCTGGTAGAAAGCGGCTTACATTGCCTCCTGAGCCCCTCATGATGCTGATGATGCACTGCTTCGCCGTCAATTACATCACCGGCATCACAACACCCCCAAAACTACTCATTTTCACTACCTCCTGGCCACCTCTCTTCTTCGCTCTCCCCCACCAGGCTCTGCGAAATTGGCCCGTGTGCGACCACCCCCCCCCACTCCCCCTTTACTCACTTCGTTCGCCCAACCCAACTTCAGCATAGCGTACCGGCTGGCTTTCGTGATATATGTAACTTTATGTTTCCGGAAACACACGCTGGTATTGCTCAAAATATGCAAAATTTACAGGGGAATGCTTCTCAAAAAGACAGCTAGGTCTTGGAAATACAGCGCCATGTGTTTGAAAACACGCGCTTGTATTGCCCAAAACACTTTGTCGTTAAAAATACTGAACATCATGCTCTTTAAACGGCAACCATGCATGTTTGGAAATCATATTGCTGAAAACACCTGTTTGTGTTGCGCAAAATATATACACAGATGCATGTCTGAACATTTTTAATGGCATCCTTTTCACAATACAGTTGTGCCTTGGCATATCAACATCATGTTTTTGAACACACACCTGTATATGCCATTGCTGTTGAAGCCATCCAATAAAACAAGTGCTTTTTGGGGATCTTTGGGTACAAGCTAGTGTAATATTGAAGCTTCCGCCTACCAGCGCCAACATTCCAGGATGCAGTGTCAAGCTGGGAGCAAATCCGAGACATGCACCACTGCGGCATCTGCAGGGATGGGTGCAGCTACTTCTTCCTGCATGTGATGCTAGCTGCTAGCATGCATGTGAAGTCATGAATCTTTGGACAGCGAGTTCATGCTGCACAATTGCTGTTGCATGCGGCACGGACAAGGAGTCCTGCTGATTTGGCAAAGCCAGGAGCTTGGTGCCGATCTGCCTGCGGCTTCACTGCAGTCATGAACTTGAGCAAACACGGCGGATGTAAAGAGGAATGTTGCCTTGAAAGTGTTGACTGCTGCAGTCGCTGACTGGACGTCTGCTGCAACCGATCAAGTTTGCTGGTGCTGCCACTGCTGTCCCCACAGAAGCTTGTCGAAGACAAAAGCGTTGCAAAGACCTTCCACTCCAAAACTGTAGAGAAAACTGCAAATCGTGGTTTTGGGGCGCAGGACACTCTGGTAAAAGCACTTGTTTAGATGTCTAAACAGTCGACGCAGCTGAGGCCCAGGCTGGCACTGTGAGGCCAAAGCAAAGCAAACTTCTCTGCTTAACCCGCTTCCCAAGCCGAGGTGGCACCTTGAGCTGACATGCTTGTGACTTGAAATGACATGAATCTGAATGATTCAAACTGATTTGAGTGCTATTGATACTTAGCCTTTAGACCTCCTTACACTCAAAGTTGAACACCCAAGGCTATACACCACCCACTCCCCACAAGAGAATCATGACCCTGCCTCAACGTCCAGTGATTTGGTACTGGTCAGCATGGCTTGAATGAGGTTTGTCTGTTTACTGTCAAAGCTTGAGATCATAGGTTGGCGCTGCTATGGCATTAGGCCGAACGAAGTGATGGCTTGATGGCTAAGGTTGAACACACAGCCTGGTCCTGTAACCTTGTGATTGTGATTTGCGGCTGAGATGTGACAAGTTTGATATACATATAATATGCATATATATATATATGTATTCATACCCAATTGCAATAGCGATGGCCTCCAACCTAATTATACATTTATATACAATTATATACATATACTACATGTATGATCATATATAGTATAAGCTAATTACCGTGTCCGTCAGAGTGCTTGCTTCCATCGAAAGTGCTTCCTTTCTTGTCTTTGGCTCAGGGAGAGAGAAGTGCATGCCAGAACTGCAACTGTCATTTGACCGCTCATCTCGCCCATGTCCTACGTCGCATTTTTCGCCGACGCAAGCACAGAGTCGCGATGTGGATGGATGTTTAGCAGCACAATCGGGCTGACTTGCCTCATCCGAGATCAAGCACTGCAGAGCCGTATCTCTGTCCTTGTCCTGCACGTAGCAGGGCAGCTCCCGCCCAACCTCCAGAGAGCGTGATGGTGAAATGAGGTGCAAATCAATCATTGGCACAGGTTCGAACACGCACTGCTGTTGCGACAAACACTTCCACTGCCCGGCAAGAGAACCTATGCGTTCGCCTGAAGCTTAGACCACTCTCTTCAGTGCATCATTGGGTCCAGAGTCCAAACCAACACAATCCAAGCCGCTTGATGTCCACAGCCATTCTCGCATTTGAAGAACTGCTTGAGGACTTCGCAGCGGTTCCCGAATTCCAGCTGCTGCCGAACACACTTCATGCCAGCCTCCACAAGAGCAACACACAAGCAAATCAGCATTGAAGGGATTTCTGGTGTTCACTTGGCATGTGGATTCGAACATATGTATGTAGTGGCACTATGTTTCTGAAAAAAGGGTCGACGCCCCACCTCCTCGCATATGTAGTTGCAGGACTCATTTGGCTTCCCGCTCCTTGGCCCAAGCCCAAGCACACAATAAAGACTTGTAAAAATACAAGGCCAGCGGCGCATGTTGTACATCATCTGTACAAACCGGTTCATGCACATGCACTGTACACAATCTAAAGACTGATCATGACGGCGACCCTGTTTTCCAACAGGTGGCTTGATTTCCTGCGCAGGATCTGGAAGCCACAATTCGCTCTCAGGCAGAAGTCCTCGACCCTGAAGCATTTGCTGCCCTTGTTTGACCAAGACCGTCTAACTTCGAACTGGTGGACTGAGATCTTGATTGATCAAACCCCTTCAAGAGATTTCAACAGAAAACATGATGCAGATATCTCCTGGGATTGGCTTAGGCTTAGTTGTCCATTAGTAGAAACCTCTTTCGCAAGTGTTCAAGCCTGACGACGATCCACCAGGGCGATCTTCACTCGCGACTGTGGATGTTGGGTGAGGATGACACCTCCAGCTCACGTTGCCAAGCAAGGAGACTTTAATCGAACTATATAATCTACAGGTGTACTATGTACTATGACACAGTAAATGCATGTATTTGTGATATCAAATTGTCACCTCGTCGAGCTCCTCTGGGCTGCCCTGGGTAGAGCTGAAGCTTCTTGGCGACGGTAGCGAAGTCCTGTCAAACAAATCAAGAAAGGAAAACCACTGGAAAAACTTTACATACTCACTTTGTGCCTCCCTCGCATAAGGGATCTTGTAATGGTGCGTTGATTGAGCCGTAGATCCTTGTTGTTGGACAATCGAAAGTAAGATACAAATACATGCTACTGTAATCATTTTCCATACATGTTCCTGCCATACATTGTTTCAGTGTTGGGACAGAATCTAACAAGCAAAATCCCTCTTGCATGGAAGGAGCTCAGCCTCAGGACATCCACATTGCTCACCAAGGCTGCTTCTTGAATCAGCTTTTGCATGTGAGCCTCATAGCTGTCCCTGGCAACTATCACAAGGTCAAAGCCAACCTGCAAAAATATCCAGGCCTTAACAAATATGAGACCTCCTTCAACTGACCATGTGGCAGCTTGCTGAAGGCCATCTTCTCCAGAAGCTTAAAAATGCCATTTCCAGCCTGCATACATTCCAAGAATTTCCAAAGCATCTTTGGAAAAGGTCTTTAATAACCCTCTCTTGGGCGGTGCTCCTCAACATCATCATCAAGCACACTCCTAAGACTCCTAGGATCCCAAGCATTGTCAGCATTGTCTTACATGTAAAAAGTTGGATTTATTTTCAGGCCCTTTGGATATCTTTCTTCTCTCTTTCTTGTCTTCGCCTTGACGTTGGTCCCTTTGGTATCCACGTGTTTGCTCCGTGGTACTTCAGGCGCTACACAGTCGCGAGAGCGGAGCTCCGGAACCCCATGGCGGAGCCAGTGGTCCCAGCCAGTGCTGGGGAAGCTTGGCCACAAGGGCCGCAGCAGTACCCAGGTGTCGTTACCTCAAAGTATTGCCAGCCAAGTATGATTTGGCTTTGTCTTTTTAGTCCGGGGGGGGTAGACCGTAGCTAGTAGCTTATCAGTAGCTACGCAACTACTAAACTTAGGCTTGGACGCAGAAGGCCTCTGCCGTAATTGATGATTGGATTCCTAGAAGTTTTGGGAAAACTTAACAATTACACCCAGGGTCTTCGTCTAAAGAGAACTGCCTTGCATTTCCTTTCCACATCCGCAGGCAACATTGACAGATCCATTGAGTTGCGATGAAACTGTGATGCTGCGAGGCTGCGAATCATCCATCCCAAGCCAGGAAAGTAGTCTGTGCGAAAGAGTCGGAGCTCGTCAGACACAATCTCTTGGAAGCCATTGTCATTCCAAGAGGAGACACACCAAAGAGATGGATCACGGTCCAATAATGGAGCAGCAAGTCGAAAATACCAAAGAAAGTCAGGTGCTAAGATCAGGTCATTCTCAATGAAAATTGCAAACTCATACTTTGCCACCTCGAAACCTGCCACTTTTTTGAATTAACAACTTCACCAAAGCACAATAAACAGGGAACTGAGCCAAGGGACTGGGAAAACAGGTGTTCTGCAATGCATACAAAATGATAAAGGAAGTCACTTGTTACTAGTAGCTTCTTGTTACTACTAGTAAGGCACTTGTTACTAGCAGCTTCTTGAGAATACCAAGAAGCTTTGCGAAAGGGCAAAGTGAAAATGTGCAGCGATCTTCGCCACGGGCACCTTCGGTGAGACGTCCAACCCAAAACAAACGGGGAAAGGAAAGCTAAAGGCCAGAAAAACGACATCGCCATGGAAAGGATTATCTTGCCTTCTGCTTTGGATCGTCTGGCTTTTTCCAAACATTGATCTGATGCCCGGTTGACGAAGCGCGCACAGTGGCCTAGCAAAAGTGGAGGCCTCTTCTCTGTCTGTGTTCTGCGCATCGTTTTCTCAACTTCTCTCGAGAATGCATGTCTATGCCTTTTCTGAATGTTGTGAGGAATTGGATGTGCAATATACATCGATATAGCCTATAGTAGATCTACAAGGAACGGGAGGAATTGGGAGACTGTTTCTCAAATCTAATTACAATCTCAGCACATTGAGTGCACTGGGTCACTTGCCTCCATCTTCGCGAAGGAAGGCTCATGGTCCAATGAAACGGTCAAAGCGAAAAGGCCCAAATCTGGCTGCTTCGAAAGCGAGTCTAGGCACCTGGCAACAGCTTGCCAAATCTGGTACATAATGCTTGGGATTTGCGCGACACTGAGAAAAAAACTTGCCTGGCAAGTGTGTCGGGCTTGTCGTGTGCCAGAATGACAATGCCAGATCCTCCCCTAGCCAACGGCTCCAATATTTCTGGATGCCAAGCTGGCTCTGGAGCTTGAGCTAGAGTCTTTGAACTTGCAATACCAAGCACAGAGTTCGCAACCTTGGCTCACTCTTGCATCAAAACCTGGGGCAGTTGCCCTTGCTTAAAACCTGGTGCAAAGCTTGTGAGTCAAGCAGCACTTTGGGACACACTTTTGGAGGTTGACCTTGCAAGTCAAACTGATGATTATGCGTCAAGAGTCAAGGTAACATAAAGCTTAAATGGTCATGCCTTGCAGGAGTTGGGCTGTGAACAGCACCCCGTACTGCCCTGGCAGGGTGTTTCAATCTTGCCGTTTCAATCTGGCTTTGCCATCTGCTTTGCCATTAACTGCCTGCTAGCACGCTCCACTGCATGGAGGGTTGCTGAATGCGCACGGCGCAAGCGCTGCACAGTTGTGCGCTCATTCTCGGTGTCACCTGAATTACAGTATACACGATTGTGTAACATGACATGTTCCGACAAGCACCCAGTCCCGGGCTAAGGGCAAGGTAGAGCCCGATCAAAGCTGTCATGAAGGCTAAAAGCACCTCAGCGAGAAACAATCTGCTTGGTGAGGTCTTAGGCTTCTTAGAACCGGATTGGTGAGGTCTTGGCAGCACCCAGCACGATGAGAAGAGCCTGGAAGGAGCCTCACATCATCCGATGCATCAAAAAGACCAGTGACCAGTGACTTGAGAGGCCGGCTACCGTTCCAAAAAGACCGGCGACGGGAGTTCAGCGCCATGATGCGATGGGAGTGAGTATCGGTTAAGCATCATGAAATGTTCACTTCTCTTATATAACATGTCTTATATAACTTGTTCTTCTGGGTTGGCTGCAACGCTCGAGTCATATGAGTAGTAAAGTGGCTGCAGAGCGCCTACTTGTTCAACTTCTTTGCCAAAGTGAGCACGGCTCGAAAGAGAAATCTCTTGTCTCCAGCAAAGCATCTTTTGTGCCGAGTGGCTCCCCAAGCGAGGCTGATGAACGTCCCCGGTCGGTTGCTCTCCAACTCTAGATGGCCAAACTAAGTTGACCATGGATTCCCAGTCTGTAGACCGGGCGTGGATAGCAACAAGTTCAGAACAAAGTCCACTGCACAAAACGTGATAGCAATATATAGCTATCAAAGTACCCCAGCTGACTTCCGAGGTCTTCTGAACTCCCCTGGAGATTTGAACAAATGTGGGATGATTTCGTAGATTATTTTTCAGAGTCAATTGAAGAAGTCAGCACCTCGCCCTTCAAAGAAACTGCATGTGCTATCACATGCTCATATTCGCTTCCTCAGCAAGGTCCAATAATGTACATCAATAAATACTGGATGATATGGAACTTTTCTCTCTGGCACCTAATCGCCAAACTACGAGTACCAGCGAAGAAAAGAGGCCTTGAGTCTTCCGCTTACTTTGCCAACATGTCCTCGATCTCTTTCAGCCTAGGTATATAGATCGATATGGCCCTGTGATAGGTTGCAGAGGCCATCGCTCTTAGGTTGGAGGCCATCGCTCTTAGGTTGGAGGCCATCGCTAGTAGGGTGGAGGCCAAGCAAAATCAAACTGTGCTCCACGCATCATCCGCGAATGTTCGCGAACTGGGGCCGGAGAGGCTGCAATACAAGAGACCCCGGTCCTCGACCTCGAGGCACCAAGGTCTGAAAGGATCTCCGCATGCTGAGAGTATTTCAGGCGCTCTGGTCGACTGTATGCTGTTCAATACACAACCCACCTTTATTCCTGCAACCTTAATTGCTTTGTTCATTAAACGCGGTGATTTAGGGTCAATCCCTTTTGGACACACAACAATAACCTGCACCCTTGAGGTTGCAGCTCGCCGTTGTAGCTCTCTGGCTTTGCGCGCACGATGATCTACAAGCGGATGAGTTATAACTTGCAAACATCCTATCAAAACTCAAGGCTGCCTGCAGCATCTCACCATAGTAGGTCTCCTTCAACTTGTTCTCGATGCCCTCTAATTTGCAGCTTCCCACTTCTTCTGCTTCTGCTTCTGCTTCTTCTTCTTCTCCTTCTTCTTCTTCCTTTTTCTTCGTCTTCGTCTTTGTTTGCTTTGCTTTGTCTAGAGTTTACAAACGTCTTCATTTACAGTCCCAGCCTCTCGGCCTTGGTTCTGCTCAATGTCTTGGACCTTTCGACCAGGTCAGGCACTTTTTCTAACCGGTGCCCTTCTCTGACTCGAAAGTGACAGGCAATACCGTGCTTAAAGTCTCTTCTTTCTTGACTTTCTTGTCCTTTTCTCTTTAGACCTTCAGACTGATTAGGCCTTTCTTTTACCTTGGTTCTTTCTTCCTAGCTGTTCTTCCCTGACATGATTGCTATATAATAGAGTTGTGTCGAGCAATGGCAGCTATACATGACCAACCATCAAATAAATAGTTGTGAAAAAAAGCAATAAAATGCAACAAAAAGCAAATGAACTTGCACAAGCAACACAATGTGCTTTGTTGTTGCATTTGTGTTGCTTTTTGTCTTTGCTTTTCTCCTGGTACCACTTCAGCACTTATGAGAACCTTACCCGTCAGCAATATTCGCTGTACGCTCCTAGGAAAACCGATAAACAATAAAGCGAAAAAAGAAGACAAACAACGCGAAACAAATGCGAACATAAAGCGAACACATGTGAAAAACGCGTATTAAAAAGCGACAAACATGCAAAGCGACATTGTTTGCTTTTTTGTTTGCTTTATTTGTGTTTTTGTTGCTATGCTTTTGCTTTAATACTATTTTGTCTCCTTGTACCTATGGCTGGCGTGTCGAACTCAATAATAGAGTGCCCAAACAAGCACCTCCTGTGCTGAGAGTGCCAAGATCTTCTCCGCTGCCTGAAGAGAAAAAACATCCGCATCCTGCTTAAATGGATGGATATGCAGTACCCCGCCGGATGGAAAGTTGTAAGCCAGCAGTTTCCAGATGCCTGAGCGGTTACTTATTTATAAAATTATCAGAAAATACACAAAGGTAAGGTCTTCTTGCTTTAGGTAAACCAAACGCATTGGAAATGTTTGGACACACAATGTGCTCAATGCAAAAGCTTAGCCGTGCAATCAAGCTGCATCTTCAAAGCGGCAGCGCAGGTTCAAACGAGGTCCAGCCTTTCAGATAAAAACTAAGGCAAAGGCAAAGCCTTCAGGTCTTGATCAAACACCCGGAAATGTCACATGGGCCTTGCCCTTCTTGTCGCACACTGCACAAAAGCCGTTCTCATCAACGCGACGATTGCACGGGAGAGTCCGTCCATTCATCCCATCCTGCAACATGTGCGCAATCGTGACTCTGTATTGCTTTGGTTCTTTGATTCGCTTAGGTGGCCTTGAGCTCCATGCAGGCATTGTAGACCAAAGGCCTCCAAGGAAATGATTCCAGGTGATCAACTATCCTCATTGGCTCTTTCTGAGTACCGGGCTGCACTTCATCCCTTTTGCGAGTCTGCACCTTATCATTATGAACGTCTCTTGGCATGAAGAGTTTTGCAATGTCACAAGTCTTTGCTTCTCTTTGCACATCCTACCAAGCTGAGGGAGGCACAGCAGCCAAGCGGCAGTAAATCGAAAAGGTCTCTTGCTCAGTCACCATCTGAAGACACGAAGCGATCTCAACATCGTCAAAGCCGACTCTCGATCTTTCCCGAAGTGGAAAGTTTCAACTAAAGCAGGTTCTGCCTGCTCAGATGCCTGCTTCATCTGCATGATGTCCATAGTCTTTCCAGAGGCTCGAGGTCCAGGCAAGCCGTTAGTCTGAGGTGCAACGTGAAATCAATGTGTGGCAGACCCTTACTCGAACACTACTACAAGGTAGGTCTACCAGTAGAATCTTCAATAAAAACACATGCTTTTACAACGTGTTTTTTCCAGTGGAGTTCGGACGAATCAAGAAAGAGCGCATGTGGAAAAAACAATTGGTGAACATTCAAAGCAATTCAAGGCGTCCAAGATTTGGCCTTGCAAGAGTCAAACGGGGTGGTAGGCAAGCAACATGCTACAAACGCCTGGGAGATGAAGGTGATCTCTTGGGCGTGGCCCGTCGACTGCCACCACGCTGAGACCTCATGTTTTCCAGTTTTGCACATGCTTTCATGTTTCATGTTTTCCATGGACTGTCCCATGACATTGTGCAAATCAGAAGAACGGGTACTAAGGTTGAACAAACGTCTCGAATGCACCTATATAGCGCTCCACTCCAAAGAGCGGTTGAAGCGGTTGATGTTTCAACTCCCATTTCCGCTTGGTTTGTGGCTGCTTTTGCTTCTGGAATGTCAGGCTGCATCACCATCAAACCGCCCTGCGCAGGAAAACGTTCAGAATGATGTTGAGGAGGGGGGAGAGAGAGAGAGAGAGAGAGTTCCATCAGGTATGCCATATGGGGACCCACCGCGTGTTAGCAAGGTGTACTTCGGTCCACTGAGCGTGGGCCGTATAGTTCACAGGGTTGTAACGGGGGGGTACCAATGGGGGGTGAGCAAACCGAAATTTTGGGAGAGTGGTTCCTCAGGCTTCTTCAAGGTTGGAACAATTTTGCTCTGGTCGAGTGTTGGCGAGTGGTTTTCGAGTGGTCACCGGGCAAGCCTGTATGATGTGACCTGTTTGAAAACTAAATTCAATCACCTTACCAAGGCTTACTAAGGCATTTTGAAAAAATTACAGTAGTCCTTGGTGAGTTCTTGGTGAGCCTCACTAGCGCTCAATGTTTTTTTGAACGATCTTGGGCTTACTAAGCCATACTAAGCCCTACGAAGGCCTACTAGACTCTACCAGCCCCTACCAAGGCCGTGACAGAAACCCTCGACGAACATGTGTGCCATGGTCTAAACACCTCACCCTTGTGGTTATACAAACGGGACGGCAATTGATTCTTGATACCAACATTTGCGCGCGATGACCATCCTCCACATAAGGAGTTTTGACCGATGACTGTCTGCCAATTTCGGTTCGCAACCAATTTCGGCAAACGACCGGACATGGTCCACATGAGATCTGCGCGCTTGCTGCAGGATTGAGACACCTCCAAATGTCTCGCCTGTATAATCTTGATTCAGCGGGTGGGTCATGGTACAAATGGTACGTGTGGAAGTGGGTCAAAGCACTGTTTATTGTTTGTCACACGGTACATCACGGTACCATGATAGATACACGATGACTATATAGCAAAAAAAGCTGTCAAAAACGATACTGAGTTTTAAAAACTTGGAAAAAAAAACATACAGCAGAGACTAAATCCGCACTTCAAGGTTCACAAAGCGCGGGGAGCCCTCCAACCTCTCCGAGTTTAATATGTCTTGACAGGTCGCCTCTCTCCTTCATCTAAACAAGGCAGAAACAGCAGAAACATCTCAGCCCACCATCCAAGAAGGGCAAAGGGCCACGAGAGAAAGGGAGACAAAGGAGTGTAAGTGTAAGGGAGACAAGGTCATCTCAGTCCAGCATCCAGCACAGTCATGGAAGACAAAGGAGGGCGGACAAAGGGGACAGAGGAGGACAAAGCAGAATCATCTTAGCCCGGCACACTGGGCCGTCACAAAACCAGAATGAAACACGCCACTACGATTGGCCTTTTCCACTTCCAGTGCTTTCACCCTTCGTTAAAACTACGTGCTGAAGCACATGTAGCAATGCTCTTATCCCAAAACACATGAGCACCTTTGGATATGTCCTTTTCCCCATCGACAAAACACATTGACTGAAATAGTTCTCATTGAACACCAGAGTACAACCTTAGATTCTAGCAATGCTCTGATGTGCAATTCTTGTTACTCCTTTTTCTCTCCGTTCTCAAATAGCATTACATCAACTTGTAATTGGCATCTGCTATTCGTCCAACGCACACACCCATTTACATGAGGAATGGATAATTGGCGTCAAAAAGCCACCACACCAAGGGGTGATGCACCAATCGAATTGCTTGCAAGAATAACTCCTTGTCTAACAAGGAGTCTCCAGGGAGCTTGCGAAACCGGTTGACATAGAAAAGGTCCGATTTCCTTTTTTCCTACAACTTCCACCGCGCTTTCCAGCATCCATATCCGTGCTTCCTCCTGCATCGACTTCGTGTTTCGTGTGATCGATTTCGTGTTCGCCAAAGGAAGAGCGCGCTGGTCAAAGGTTGTCAAGGTCCAAATGCATTCATGCGCTGAGTGTTGCAAGTGCCCAGCGAGACACGCACCCACGCCACATCGTCACAGCAGAAACATTTCCCCGGTCATTCTGGGAAACTTTGTCGAAAAAATGCGGCTCCCAAATTTGTAATCGTGCTTCCACTTGTTGAATGCATGATAAACGAAAGCTGATGGCCAAGTCCAAAAACCGATAGCTGTCCGTGCGAACACACTAATAGCTCACGGCATGAACTGCGCGCAGCCTGTTCCAAAGTTGCTTCGAATCAAACGCGCAAGCATCGAGACACTATAAAATCAGGGAGGGTTCCTGAGCATAAGTTTTGAGTCAGCAAAGATCGGCAAAGTGAGATAACAATATCAGAAGGCTGATATTTAATTTTACAGTGGCTGCTCGGGAAAACGAAAAAGAGGACGAGGACGCGACGCGAGAGCGGCATGAAGAAGCTGAAGCTTGTCGGGCGGGTAAGACTACTATATAATATAGACAATAGCTTCTTTGGGATCTGGATTGAGCTATGATAGAGTGCATCGTCTCTATAAAATCAATGTCCAACTATCAGAAATTAGTCCACATAATTTGGATGAGCAAACCTCGTACGTATGATGTCTCCACTATAAAATGCGGGTCCAACCTTCAATCTATAAATTTGGGGTTCTCCTTTGCATGCCTTCCAGAGGTTTGTCTCCAATTCTATAGAGAGCCTGGCTTGCAATTTTTGAGGCTTACCCAGGTTATGGTTTATGAAAAGTGGAAACACCCAGGGCTCGCGATTTTATAGAGGAAACACCCAGGGTGATGTTTTTGGATATGTTATGCAGCAGGCGCAGCACGAAGGCATTGGGTTTCCTTGAGTCGGTTTCCGGCCTTTTCTTGGGACGGCGGATGTGTTGGCTTTCCAAAGCAGTAAGGGTCTTTTGCAAATAAAACAAAATCCTGACCAACTATTCCAGGATGGACGCGTGAGTTCGTTGATGCTCCCTTTCGATTTGGAAGTGCAAAATTGCTCGGCGATTTCTTCGATTGTTCTTCTTCGAATGTTTGCGCACCCATGAGAAGAGAATGTTTCGCAATGCGACGTTGAAACGCGTGAAGAAATATCGTGCGAAGGGGCTTCTTTTTCCAGGAAAACGGCATATTGTTAGCGTGAAGTGGCGTCGTGCATGCAGTACTTGTGTATTCGAATGTGTTTTCTTGAGTGGGTGCATAAGAGTTGTTACAGTCCGAATGCTATGCGGAGGTATCATGCATCGAGAGAAGGCGTATTCCTCTGTAGTCCGTTGTGTACCGTAGAAACAGCGAAATATGATGAAATATTCAATTGAGCAGCTTCGAAAACCCCTATTACTTTTTTGTATAATCCAGGTTTGCTTTCGCAGAGCTTTCGCGGAGCTTTCGCGGTCTGCATTCTGGCTTTCGCGGAAGGTGTGGTGTTATGTGGGGCTTTCGCGGCGGCTTTCGCGGCGATTCGTTTTCGATTGGGAAATTCGATTGGGATATTGTACAATAAAGTGATTAATCTATATAAGTTATCCGATATAAGTGTCCTTAGGGTGGTCAAACAAATTTCTTTCCGGCAACATCCTGGCACAAGGAGTTATAGCAGCACCGTTCAAGTATTATTGTTGTCATGAGAAGAGGAGGAAAACTTGCTGAAACTTTTTGCTGGGGCCAGATACCTTTTTCGGATATTTTCGACTTTCGCGGTTCTTTCGCGAGGCTTTCGCGCGGCTTTCGCGGAAATTCGTCTGGGCTTTTCGATTTTCCCCTGAAACACTTGCTCTTCAGTGCTGCTGCTGCTGCTGCTGCTGCTGCTGCTGGCTGGTCTGCTGCGGCTGGCTGGCTGGCTGGCTGGCTGGCCTGCTGCGGCTGCCTGCATAAAGATATGGTCACCCACATAAACAACACGACATGCACAAGAAATTCGACTTTCGCGAAAGCTTTCGCCACGCTGTTCTTCTGGGGTTCTTTCGCGGGGCTTTCGCGAACCTTTCGCGACCTGCGTTTTGGCTTTCGCGAAAGAACGTGAGATTACAGTTTGCATACTTTTCATCATAGAGGTTTTTGAAGCTGCTCAATTGCAACGCACACAGTTGTCTGGCTGTGATAAAATGTGTGAGCCATCGAAGCGAAGGGCGGAAACAGCACCGCTCGCATTGAACGAGCATCGAACATCGTCACTTCCTTAAACGAAATTCTCCAGGACGCAACATGCGCTGATGCTTCTGCAGTGAAAGTAAACATGAAACATCGTTTCATGGCGGGCGTATTTCCTTTCTCGCAGAGCAGGCGTGTTGCATTTGCTGATTAATTTCAGGGAGAAGCTGATTTCAGTATGGTCTTGGGACACGTCTTCGCCTTTGTCGTGTGTGGATTCGCACAGAAACACTTTATCTGCTCTCTGCGAGGACATTGACGAAATTTAAAAAAGTCGCATGACACGAGCCCAAGAGCCCAAGAAACATGTTTTTTTACAGGGATGAGGATGAGCATGAGGATGAGGATGAGGGTGGTGATGTGGGTAGTGATGATGTGTGCATGTAAACCTTTCCAAACCAACTGCTGTCTTATCCCTCCATCAGCTCAGAGGCTCAGAGCCCTCAAATGCATCAACCCGCCCTTCATCGTAATCACCACCTCTGTCAATGAGCCACTTCGACCTCCTTGCCATTCCTGCAGCAAATGCCCGATGCAGCTGAGAAGCAGCAAGGCTTTGTCCATGCTTCGCAGGCTTCACAAAATGCTGGCCTTCACCATCACACCCTTCATGACCACCACTGGGTTGCCCTTGAAGACAGTATCCTCCTGGCACAAGAAACAAGAAACCAAGACCCAAAATCATGCATGTTCTCGAGCCATCTATCTGAATCGACTCTAGAACAGTGCTGTTACGGCCTTCTGAGCACGCTCTGCCCAGATTGTGACAATCATGCTCATGGCACTGTCATCCTCAAGTCCAGGAATCATAGAGGACTCAATCAAAACAAACAAACATGCAATCAGCAAAAGTAAGATGATAGCTTCAACGCTTGGAAGGGCAGCTTCACCACGAGCCAAGACCCCGACCGCAATCGTGAGGTTCCTCTTGACAAAGTTCCGCCTCAGGTTGGGACAAAGCAGAAAAAAATGATCGGCATGGGCATCCAGGCATCCAACTAAAGAGATTGCAGATTCCTCTTTCTCTTTGACGTTGTCCAGAGTCTTTTTCATCGTGTCTTTCTCTGCGAAAATCTAGCTTATTGAGGCTTTGGCCCCTTGGATTCAAAGGCAATAGGCTGCTCGAAGGCAGTGATCACACCACAAATGTCAACACTGCATGGCCTCAATTACACACAAATGACAAAGGAACTGATACTGTAGGAATTGGATGAATTCCAAAACCCTAGGGATATGGCAGTGTTTTTCCCTTCACCTTGGCAAGCATGTCGAGAATTTGGGGTAGTTGATGCATGAACAATGTGACTTCTGTTGACATGCCCTGGCCAAGCTTCTGACTGAGCGTAGGTTCTCGATGGCATATCTGAAAAACGTCAGGAATCTCTATTCTCATTCTTCACAGGTCCAACAAACCTGAAAGCATTCTAGGCTGAAGCGGCAGCTGAAACTCTGAGATGCTGACTTCACAGTCTCAATCTTCTGGTCATCTTCGACTTCATCCACCTACACTCGGCAACGAGGGTTTGCATCGAAGAAACAGTTATACTGTATATATATAATCCTCCATGAAATTCCCATGGTCGGTCTGGGCTCCACATGTTTACAGCAAAAAAATGTTTTCCCCCACCTTTTTTGCACTATAGAATGGATTACCCCAGCTAAAAGGATGGACACCGGCTCACTATAGAATGGGGAGCCCAGGCCGACCAAAACCATGCAAAATGACACCTTTGTACGCATATAACCTAAAATAGAGCCAACCATAATTTGGCTTACCCCACCCTCCTTTCAAACGTTCATTGGGTCAAGATGAAAGCTCAAGCGCACACATTCCAAAAAACCATTTTATAAGGGGTCAGGTTTGCAAGGGAATGGACGCTTCATAAAACAGCTGACAATGACGGACAACAACATTTCTGACTCTCACTGTGCACGGTCTCTGTTTATGTTCCGCTCTATTGACAGTGTATATGCTTCGCATATACCATTGGACAATCCCCCATTCCAAAAAAACTACCACTAAGGCTCTGCACAACAAAACCCAAACATGAAATGTCTTGAAAAAACTATCTTTACTCGTGGCTACTCCACGTTCTGGCAATGTCTCGGCAAAACATGAGAACTCATCACCTGCAACAATCAAGCAAACAACTATCCTCAGCCAGATCTGCCAAAAGTGGAAGTGTCGATTGAGCCCTCAGTGCCCTGGCAAATGAAATTACTTTCCTTTATTTTCTTTTGTTATTGTCTATGTTGCTTTGCCACTGGCTCCTTTGCCTCTTTTGTCCTGGCTCAGAATGGCTTAGGTGTGTTGTTCCCGAATGCGTAGCGAAGGGTTCCCGTTTATAGTTGGGGGTCTGGGGTTGGAGCTGTGTTTGCATGGCTTGCGTCGTATCGTCGTCTCTCGTCGTCTGTCGTTGTCTCTCGTCGTCTCTCGTCGTTTGTCGTCGTCGTCACGTCTCAAATTCGCTGCCATTGGGGGAAGCTTTTGCAAGGGACTTTTCATGGACGTGTCACATGTCAGTTTGCGCCGCTATTACATTGTGATTTGCAGGACCATGACATGTCGCGCAAGAAACATGATGCATTTCGCTGCACAGGCGCATTGCTGCGCAGTGCCATTGGGATTAGCGTTTGGAGAGTCATGTTTTTGGGGTGTTGGATGTGGCCGCGCCATTGGGATTTGCGTTTCAGGATGTGGCATCGAAGCTCGGTTTTCGTGACAAGTCTCAGCTGAAATGGCGATTTTGGTGGATGGGGAGTGTGCTCGCGTGGAAGTGCGTTTCTCGTGGCAGGCGCAGGGAATCGTGAGGTTGCGAGGTGTGACGGAGGTGACATTTCGTGGCAGGCGCAGGCGCAGTACTTTGCCCACAAGAGTGTCCTACAAGAGTGTCCCGTAAGAGTGCCTCACAAGAGTGTCCCACAAGAGTGTCCCGCAACCGTGTCCCACAAAAGTGTCTCACAAGAGTTAAGAGTGTCCCACAAGAGTGTCCTATAAGAGTGTCCCACAAGAGTGTCCCACAAGAGTGGCCTACAAGAGTGTCCCACAAGAGTGTCCTACACGAGTGTCCCACAAGAGTGTCCTACAAGAGTATCCCACAAGAGTTTCCTACAAGAGTGTCCCACGAGAGTGTCCCACAAGAGTGTCCTACAAGAGTGTCCCACGAGAGTGTCCCAAATGAGTGTCCCACAGGAGTGTCCCACAAGAGTGTCCCGCAACAGTGTCCCGCAAGAGTGTCTCACAAGAGTGTCCCTTAAGAGTGCCCCACAAGAGTGTCCCGCAACATTTCCCACAAGAATATCCTACAAGAGTGTCCCACAAGAGTTTCCTACAAGAGTGTCCCACAAGAGTGTCCCACAAGAGTGTCCCACAAGAGTGTCCTACAGGAGTGTCCCACAAGAGTGTCCCACAAGAGTTTCCTACAAGAGTGTCCCACAAGAGTGTCCCACAAGAGTGCCCTACAAGAGTGTCCCACAAGAGTGTCCTACAAGAGTGTCCTACAAGAATGTCATTTGGACATATGTAGCTTTTCGAACGTGTTTGCATTCGGGCTCGTGGGCTCCATCTTGTTTCTTATTTCTGCGCTTTTCACGGAGCCAAAAGGCTTCTTTTGGTTTGGTTTCAAGAATGCTTGGCTTATAGAATGGCTGGAGGCCAGGTCCTGAAACAGCTCATGATCTGAGATTATAGGAAGATTGGTTCTCCATAGAATGGACAGGAGTCCACCCCAAAAAAGCTGTCCATAAATTGAGTGCACCTCCACTTTTGGAGTGTCTTTAACATAGCCATGTTGTTCCTAGAACCGTTTTATGCAGGAGCCTGGGCGGACAGATTTTATGGATGAAATTTTTGTGGGGATTATATATATATATATATGTGTGTGTGTGTTCTGGAAAATTAATCATCTAGTCGATTGAAGCCTTGAGATAATATCCGGTGTGGTTTGCTGCGACCGTGCTGGCCTGAGCCATCTTGTCAAAAACAAGCTCGTAGCGATGCTTGCCTGGAGCAAATATTCAGATTAGTCGGCTTGACCTGTAAGTTGTGCCACACAGAAGTGAACCGAATCGGTGAATACTGACCTAATATGGTGATTTTTATCATTTATCTGTGCACCTTCAGTAAGGCCCGAACATGTATTGTACTGCCTGTTGGCAATGCGGACACTGCCCCTGCTCAGTTTGAAGCACTTCCCGACCTCAACCAGCAAAAGGTCAAGAGTGCTGTTGAGATTCTTCAAAGAGGGTCAATCATACAGCAAAGCTGGCAGACTCAAAACACTGCTTTCTCAAACCTTGGCAGGAGCCCCTGGTAGCGTCCTTGCTCCTAGTAGCGATGCCAGGAGCCCCTAGTAGCTCCGCAGCTACTACGGCGCTTTGCGCTTTCTGCCTCCATGAGGTCAAAGAACTTCTCGGCAGCTTCATTGAAGAAGCTTGCACGGATCTCACCGCCTGGCGAAGCATGACACCAAGCACACAATCATTGAAAAGCAGCCCAGAAATGCACAAATGGTGCACACAAACATACAACTTGTAGAAGGCAATGCTGACAGTTCCCACAAGTCACAAGTAGTTTTGTATGTTTGTTTTGGCTGGCGTGCAAGGAAGCAAGGGCATGCTTGTTCGCTCAGGTTTGGATTGATGAACTGACAGACGGATACATTATATATATATATATAGTATGAATCACGTCAATGTCACTGTGAATACAATAGGCCCCGTGCAAAATCTGAATGGCACATATGTCTTCCGTGCAAGGGGCTTATCTGAAGTTGGTTTGTGGGTGTTCGGGGGGGAAAGCAGCATTGTGAGCAGCCCTGACTTCTCAGCACCTTCGGCATCAAGAAGCTCCACGTGGAAGACCTGAAAAAGCAAAGGAATTTATCCAACAGCGATGGCCTCCAACCCAAGAGCGATGGCCTCCACCCTAGTAGCGGTGAAAAAAGGTACAGGCCCGGCGCCGGGCCGTAACCGTCTGTTTTCATTGCTTTCCGGAAAGAAAGCTATTGGCCGCGCAGCGCCTTGCCATCTCCATTTCCATCACGCTTCTTGAACCCACGCCTCCGAGGCACAGTTGAAGCATCAAGAGTGTTCCGGGAATGCACAAAAAATGAAACAACATAAACAACAATCTTCCAAAACATACAGTTCAGCTTGCACATCATGATGCTCATACCGGTAGCATTTTGTGCATAGTCTGACGGTCTGACACAATATGTGTCAAATCCAAAGAAGAGTCTTGTATGATTTGAAGCTCTGCTGCTTTTTCTGTTTTGTTTCTGCTTTTTGGCCTGCTTCAGTGCACTTCAATTGACTCTCTCTCTCTCTCTCTCTGCAACCACTACCAGCATATCCCGCGGGAAGACTCGGGGCACATGGGAGCGCGCATCGTCACCCTGCCCTTGATGGTCCATTTGGCGCCCTGACAGCATTGTTTTAGATGAAACTATGAAACGAGCATTGTAGCATTGTTTAGAAAGCATCGTAGAAGAAAGCATTCTTGTAAAGCCTAGTGAGGTAGTCAAGAGATGTGAGGTGTGGCAATTCTGCAGATGTCCCATGACGTCCAAGACCTAAACAATCAAAGCTGCTTGGCAGGTGCTGCGGACCTGGTACGTGGACAGCTCACGAATGGGGAAGAAAACCTCCTCTTGGACCTGGATGGTCATTGTTGCAAAGTCCTCAAGGTCAGCTCACCAAGTCTCTGTTAAGCCTTGGAAAGCCCACAGCCAACTTTGAGGGAGCCCTAGAGTTCTTCCTCTATTGCCCTGCTTCCTTTATATGCATCTCTCTGCACTCCTAGTAGGCGGAGGCGAATGTAGTCCGGAGGTCGTGAGATGCTGCTAAGCCAAGTTGTTGCGGTTCACACTGAGAATCAAATCCACTCAAATTCCTTTTTTTGTGAAGGACTGACTGTCTTCTGCAAAAAGTGACTTTCGTAGGCGACACCGCCGGCTTTGCTTGGAATTTTCGATTCACCGGTCCAAACTGTACATAGCGGTGGCTAGGCCAGCGCCTGGCTAGGCGGCTTAAATGAGCGAGCGCTCAAAGTATGTTCACACAAAAAGGACTTGTCTTATTGAATATACAGTAGATGTTTTTTCAAATATAATATGTATTGCTTTGAAAGCTGCACAATAGGCTGGAGACGTGGCAGGGGCCGCTAGTTGCCCTCGGTCACATGTCTTCCCAAGTATCTGGAACTTCCTCCTGGCATGACTTCGCAAATACACGTCGGTCATGGAATAATTCTTCACCGTGCGAGGTGGTTTCTGAAGCATGAGATCCAGGTTCTCTTCACAGCCAGTCTCATCACAAAGTCTCCAAGGAAATCCAAAGGATCTTGCTGCTCCTTGGAGTCCCAAGCATCTAGCTGTGGCTTTGGACGCGGAGCAGAGCGCGGCCCTCCAGAGCCAAGCGGTGAAAGGAAATGTCTTCTGGCAAAATGGTCGATTGAAAAGAAAGAAAACGAAGGTCTGGAGAAGAAAGATACAGAAAGCATTCTCGATTCATCGTTCACCAGCCTGAACTAGATGTGAGGGTCTGTTCCAGCTTGACTCTCAATCGAGAGGTGGGACCTTCAAATATCTGAAACGATTGCTGTGAGTTGTCTGAAACTGTATCTTGAGCATTCTTGAGCTGCGTGTTTCAGTGTCCACGCCCTAAGCCTCCAACTTGGCTGTCCCCATGCGGAGGGGCCACGAACTGGCACCATATCTGCCCCAGGCTCCTGCTCATGTTCATGTACATAAGTCAACTCATCGTACCAAGTGTACGATGATTTCTCAATCAATAGAGATATGTTTCCGTTTTTGTATATATATATATAATATATGTATAGATAAGATACAAGTACTAACTACTAGGTGACGACGCCTTCTGGCGCCTGTGGGTGGCGTGTTACATCTCTCCTGAAACCCCCTGAGGAGGACCATTTCAAGAAAATTGAGTAAAAATGGGGTCGTCAGTTTGGACATTAGTTTTTGTTATTTCAAGTACCTGAGTAATAAGAGTTTGTTTCCATCAGCAATCAGGATAAATTGGGATCAATCATCTTAAGCATGAGACACAATGCTCAGAGAGAAGGACTCCCTTCCACGAAATGATTGGACTCAGTCTTGGTGTAAATTCTCTTTGTAGCAACATGGCATGAAAGCTGTGACATTCTCTCTTAAAAAAGCCATAGTCTGCTCTGTCGGTTTTCAAACGGTCCCAATTGGTCAATTCTTTCACCAAAGTGCTCAGCGGGAAAACCGCCATACGGTGCTTTTCACTTCCAGCGGCAAGCCTTCGACAAGTGCAGCAGGAACTCTTGTCCCGTGACATCTCCATCAGCTCTGAGGTTTTTGCGCCAGAGCCATTGGTACACACGGCGTTCCAACGTTGCATTCATGCAACTGACGCCTTTCATTTTTCCTTTTCTTTTTACCTGCTTCGGCATGAAGCGCTTCAGGCTTCCCCAAGCAGCATCGATGCACTGCGTGCCTCCGACTTTACTCAGCTTGGGCCGAGGAGCACGTCGAAGCTGCACTGCGTATTGTCGTTGCTGGTGTGACACCTGAGCCACAGGGATCTTCAGCTTCTTGGCAAAGGTTCGCCAGCTCGGAGCACCATCTGAGTAGATTGCTGTGTTCTTGTCTGCTCCAATGTACTTTGCAAGGCCTGACCTGTCAATCTCCCGAATCGATTCGACAGGCGGCCGAGCCTTGGGAAGAGTAACCTTCGGCGTCATGAACTTCACCACCATCAAGCCACCCCGCTGGATGGCGCCGACGACACGCACATGGACTGGGTAAGACTTCAAACAGGCCCGTTTCTTCTGCTGCAAATCTTGGATCTGGTCCGCGTAGAAGATGTTGTCAGGCTTCACAAAGAAGCGGCCGAGTGATGTGGCATCACACTCGATCTCCTGGCGGAGCCGGATCAACGACATTGCCTTCTTGCCTGCTGCAGCTTCACGCTCCGACAGAACACGCAAGAAGTTGTCCGCCGAGTTGTAAGGCACGCCGTGTGCATGCACCAGGTCTGTGGCCACCACAGCTTTGGTATGGGACATGTTTGCGTAGCGCACCTACATCCGAAACAAAATCAACCAACGGATCACCTCCCACCGGGTACGAACCAACATCAATTAATCCGTCCAAAAAGAAGGGGTCCACACGAAAAAAAACTCTAAAGATGACTCAGAAACGGTTTCCCCACACAAACGAAGCAACAAAATGAACGACAAACACAAAAGAGTTTCGCGGCTGAGAGCCATGGCCGCGGCTGCGGGATTGAAACATGAGCCGAACGAAACCGGCCATAATCAAACGAAAACGAAGGAGAACGGACGAAAACGCACGAAAACGAACGAATCGACGAACCGAACGAAACCACGCCGCCCCCCCCAACCCCCCCCCCCAAAACCCCCCCCCAACACACCTGTAGCTCACAGAAGGACAAAGTCATATATCAAGCACACTAGATACTGCATTATTGGAGGTTATTACATATCAGGCACAGGCGCCTGGAGGCGTTACCAGCAACTACCAACATACCACTCATACTCTGGTTATCTCTGGTTTTTGGAGTTAGCTTCTCGAAAAACAGCTCCAACAGCTCCTGCCCGGTCAAGCGCCGGAAAACTGCAGCGCCGGTGGCACTCCGATCCACAAAGGCGACAGCCTGCGGTGGCTCCAGGTGGCACTCCCCGGGATCGAACGGGTCCAACCTCTCCAAGTTCCCCGGGCCGAACACCAAGGAGGCCCTCCAAACCGATCAGATCGTAGACCTGTCATGGCACAAAGACATGCCATTTCAACCGCAGTGTCTCAGAGTCTTGGAGAGTTCTCCATGTGTTGAGCCGTTTCATTGCAACGTGCAATCTCTGGTCGGATTGGTTCAAAGACACATCCTTGTGCTGCGTGTCAGCTGTGTACGGTGCTCATTCATACTGTACACAACTACAAGCTACAGCATATATATATATATATGTATATACCTTGTCTGTCAGTTCAACTGTTTGGAATTGCTCCCAAGTTGGCCTCGTCCAGACCTTTCAGCCCCACAAAACGAAGACAAGGTTGAGAGCTCAAGGCCTCAGGAAGAGGTAAGGCCTCTAGTAGCAAATAGCTACTAGTAGCGTCCTCGCTACTAGTAGTAAGGCCAGGAGCTACTAGTAGCTCCTTGTTAGTAGTAGTAAGGTGCCTTGTTACTAGTAGCGATGCCGTTATGCCTTTCCAGGAGGAAGACTACACTTGCGATTGGGTCTGAAAACAAGATTCAATCGGAATTAACAGATTAACATACGCAAGACTGGTCGCAAGCAGCAGCGCGCACGAATGATTTTTCTGGGCCAGCAGCACAGAGTCTTCCCCGCAACAAAGGTGTCCGGCTTCTCAGAATGGACTGCTTTGTCTCTGTACAACTCTAGAAAGTTGCAAACAGGTCCTCTTGGCACCAACCATGGCAAAAGAAGCTGTCAACAGGCTTGCTTAGTGTGTTTTGAATTGTACCACTATCCCTGCTATATAAAGTAATCTGGCCATATCTGGGCAAGAGTGCCAGAGTGTGTCACAAATCTGTCCTTCATGACATGGTAGCGTCAGTCAGTCACCCTTCATTTGTCCATGGATTTTCGAAGTCACGGATGCTTTTTTACTTTGCACGATGATTGAATTTGCGCTAACGAGCGACCAGGTGCCTCGGAGACAGCTGATTGAAAAAACTGGAGTGGCTCAGATCACATAATGAGAAAGTATTCCTTAAGAGAAAGAATCTTCAATGCGTTTCCAGCATAGAGTCCAAAGTCAAACTTCAGGGACCGTGATGGCGTTTTGATAAGAATGTCAAAACTTCGAGTAGGTATGCTGTGTAGCTGATGCCCATGTGCGCGGCTCAGTCCAAGGCCACTCAGCGCGGCAAAGTTCAGGATGTTCTGCCGATGCTTCAAATGCTGGTCATGCTGTTGCAAGCATTCAGTGGCAATTGGCAATTGCACAGCTCTTTTCAGGACCCTTGCCACCTCTGGCCATCACCAGAAACATCTGACAGGCCGCTTGAGCTGCTTGCACCTGTGAACCCGACGTAGTTGAACCCAGCGAAAGCATGGAAGTAGTTGTGCTATGTTGTGCTGATCAATTCGTCTGAGTACAGCAATGGGCACTCTGAGGCTTGCATTGACTCAAAGCTTTGACGCTGCACCCGTTCCGCACGAATAAGGCTGCCACGGCTGCTCTTCAAGCCCTCCTCTGATACACCGACTAATATGTTTCTGTTTGACCATGTTAGAGTTTGTTAGAGTGCTGAGACAGTTGACTGCCTTTGGATCTGGGAATTGCCGCAAGAGAGTTTGGAAAACCTTCTATCCAAATACTGTCAGGATCCAGTCCTTCTTGGAACTCGAAATCTGGCTCTGTTGACTCGTCATGGAGGGTGATGGAGACGACCCTCGCTTGAAAACAGAGTCCACGTCAAGGGTGTGGCCTTGAGCGGAAATTGCATCGACCCCGATCGGTCAAGTCAGACAGTGGAGTGCTTCTGCACATCTAGCGAGCGTAGGATTTAGGATGCGGCGTGTAATCTCCTTTCGCAATGATGCTTCTACTTCTGCCTCTGTCTCAAATTTGAACTTGGAACCACCTTAGGCAGTCGAACTGAAGGTGGCAAGAAAAAATGCCTCACATGCTGAGAGCCGTGCCACGTCTGAGCGACTCGCCCTTGGGTTTGGAGCGGTTTTGAAACCCAAGCAACAACACACCTTTAGTCATGCAGACTGGTGACTGGTGGTGACACACACCTTGGCACCCAGCCAAGCCAGTGCTCATGCTACCGCGGCTTGCAGTTGGAGACATCGCCAGTGAAGACATTGTTGGAAAAAGGGGTCTGCAGCAAAACTGTGAAAACTGATTGAGTTTTTTCATATTGATTTCTTGTGGAAAAAAATGAAGCAAACACATTCGGCGGGATGCTCATAGGTCCAGCGGCCTCCAGCGGCCACGACTACTTCTGTGGGGTTCCTGGCACCCGTGCAGATGGACATGCGCAAGTTTCGATTCACTAGCAATCCAGAACATATTCAAACACAGTTGTGGCATGTTGTGGCTAGGACATATGGACCAGATTGGTAATATTCCTTTGCCACCCAATTGTTTGTGAGGCACAAGAAACATTCCCTAGACCATGACTTGCAGGTCAGCACTGCAAGTAGAGTGTAAGACAGGGCACAGCTCTGCAAAGCAAAATCAAGAGATGGAAAGCATAAGATGAGAGCCATAAGACATATAAGCAAAGTCCATTACATTTGAGATAGGTACGGATACGAATCAAGTAAACTACTATTCCAGGCGTCCGTCAAGGGCCGATGGATGCGCATGGAGTGTGAGGAGGATGTAACGCACAACAAATTACACCAGCATCAACCCCAAACAGCAGCGGCACATCAACAGCGAAAGTCGAATGTTTTGGCCACCAGTTTAGAGCCATGGGAGACAAAGGGGGACAAAGGAATACAAAGCAGACTCATCTCAGCTCATCATCCAAGAAGGGCCATGGGAGACAAGCATCCAGAAGAGCCATCAGGCGCAAAAAGAGGCAAAGCAGACTCATCTCAGCCCAGCATCCAGAATAACATAGTGTGAGTGCATGTGCATACATACTTTACTAATAGAAACAGAGACTCACATGTCAATGCTCATGGACAAAGCTTATATAAGTAAAAGCTTTCTCGTTTCTACAACCAATCGATGTCCGTGCGCCACCATGATTTCAGAGTAAGTTCTTCAGCTGAACAAGCATATACAATGAACTCTTTGCAACAAGCCTGCCGTGCGAATGTCAAAGCCTTTTCAACATCAATCTATTTAGCGAATTGAAATCGTCAAGGCAAACCCCTCTCTTGCCATGCTGCAAGCCCTGCCTCGTGGAACTCAACATTTTTTTTCTGCCTGCTAAAGCCAAGGTGCACAGTGTATATCAGTTGCATGAAAACAAGATTCTGGACATAGAGACTCGCTGCAAAACGTATGGATGTTCTGTAAGTGCAAGAATTCTTGTGCTCGCGAGCCTCTCACTTCCGTCTGAGACGTTTTTCTCGATGTCGGAGGGCCACGCATTTGTGAGGCAAGTTGACCTGCGAAAATTGCATCTCTCTGCGACAGGTCAACGCCTTGGTAGCACTGGTTTAACTTACGACGTAGTGTCCGACGCTGCACGCGCTGCCTTCCAGACATGATGTGCCCGATGAAGTTGTCTGAGAGTCCACCATCGGACTGCACAGGCCTGATCGCTGGGCCGTCCTGCAGTTGGTTGAAAAAATACACATGAATTACACCCACACAAGTTACGCAGCACACCATTAAATTGTTCTCTATAAATCCCCACATGCCAACGTGTCATTCATAAGAAACCCAGCTTTACTGTTGTAGGATTCAAATAAAGGCAAGTCTGTGATTGAAAATTACATCGAACGAAGGCACCTCGAAGAGATCAGTCGGCTGGACAGAGTGCAGTGGCCTGGCTGCCGCACCAAAACTCAGCCAGCATTGAAGGATCTCTGTAGATTGCTGATCTGGTTTCAAAGTAGGATTAAGGCACGTCGCACGCATTGGCTTTGTTTGATACTTGCATTGCACTGAATATACAAGATTCAGAGTAAAGCTTGAAGCAAGCAATGTTCGTATGAACTTTGGTGCCATTTGCAAGCTCCAACTCTTGTCTAGAAAAACATTTGGAGCCCTACTTGTTTGTAGCAAAGGAATGTGCTCAAGGAACAAATTGAGATGCTCTATGATATGATGAAGAGTGGTGTTATTACAGAATGATTAATCCGGGGAAAATTGATTTCCTATTGTGGAATTCAAGATTCAATCCTTGGAACAGATTGCATCCTCAGAGATCTCCCAGCAGGCATTGATGTCGGGAAAAAAGACACCCTTGAAAAGTACGTAAGCCGGCAAAAAGGTTCTGCACAGGCTGCTTGGATCCAACTCTCTTTTGTCTACCTCACATTGTCTTCTGATCTGGAATGTGTTCGATTCATAGAGTACAATAGTGATAACCTCTTCGTATTCAAGA